AAAATACACTGCATTAATGCATCGGATTGGCAATTTTTTTCTGTATCATACACATATTAGTAGAAACATCTATAGCTTCTTTCTCATGGATTAATCTGCATCTATGTTTGTTTGCATGTGGCTGTGTGTTTGTGTGTGTTTTAACTTTCGTTTCTTACTGACCTCGAGTGACGACAAATTTTGTGTGACTTACTATATCGTTCTTCCTGGTGAAGAATGTACAAGACAATCTCTGTTCTAAAATCATTCCTTATTCGCCATATACGGTGTTGTTCTGTGTTAATTTCCCTTCTTTTTTCTGAAACAAATCACCACACCTTCATTACTGTTTTTTCAATATAATGCATCAGTTATGTTTGCTGTTAAATATAATCATGGAATTAATGAAATCTAACTTTTCATTTGAGAAGTTGATATTATATAATTTTGATGCCTGTGGTATCCTGGTATATGATTTCATCGATATATTACCTCCCATATTGACCTACATACGTATATCATACTCCGACTTTAAGTCAGCATATGTCTGTCTGTCTCTGATACATTTGTTAATATTCAAGGACCTATTTTGATGGGTGAACCTTCTTTCTATTGAACCGCTAACTAGCAAACTTACGTAACTCTCATCCTGCCCAATGCTCTCTCTCTCTCTCTCTCTCTCTCTCTCTCTCTCTCTCTCTCTCTCTCTCTCTCTCTCTCTCTCTCTCTCTCTCTCTCTCTCTCTCTCTCAACATTTGATTTGGCACAATTACGATACACTACTTTGATGTACATTTGTTCCAATATACTTATCAAACAAACAAATAGTGCAGTCGCCTGATATTGAATTTTCTTTTTTGCGGCCTGGAGGTAACGAAATGGGCTGTCCGTGAATTGGTAAGAAAGGATAATCACTCTTGCCAAGCAGACTCAGATTCTCTCCTCTTACGAGATGTATGAATAAAATGTATCTCGAGATCAGTCAATCCTAAGATAGATAAACATGTAACATTTGTTAAAGTGGTGAATGATGACTCCCTGGTTTGATATTCAGAATGTTTGAATTATAAACTGCAGCCATTAACATGCGTATGATTTTTGTTGAAATGATAATCTTAAGATTCCTAAGAATTTATACAAACTACACATATTACACGTCCAACCGCATCGACCTATGATGTTAGACCCTGACATTTTCAGCAAGACAAACTCTCTGTGCGTAAAATTATGAAATACTTTTAAGCCTTTCTATCTTGAGGTAGCAGGGTACAGTTTCGTAAATTGGCACCATAACAAATTTCTTTACTTAAGGCTATGGTGTGACTTTTTCAGTTATTATTGTTTACTAATTAAAGATATGGATATATTTGTGAAGTAGATGTTTCGGGCTTATGGTGTTGTTGAAATTGATGTCAGGCATGTACATCTTCCATAATTACTCTGCAGTATATCGATTAAGTATCTTGAAAAATTATTGATTTCGGTGGAAACTTTCGTATTTTGTAATTATTCTTGTATATTATCTTTTTATTTTTAATATTATAATGTAATGAATGTTTAATTGTCTTTAAGAATTTATAGTCATTTGTAAAATGGTGAACATATTAATTCTTTACAAACATCATATCATGATTTAAGTTTGGAATAAAATATTCTTTAAATAATAAAGAATAATGTTCAGTAATATATTGCAAATTAGCATTTTATCTTAAATTGTGTAAAATATATTTCTTCAAAACGATTGTTGCATTAATTGCAACTATTTTATACTCTTTCATTTAGTCCAGAGAAAATTATCTGTACTATATTCTAAAATGCAAAACTACACAAATATATGAAGTTAGTAAGTTCGAAGGAAAAGTATAATGTGCATTTTATATATTTTTTTCAATATTAAGGCTTTATAAAATGTATCTCTTGAATGTAGCATTAAATATCAATTGATATCGATTACATAAAATTCATTAGTTATAGATATAGAAGGCTTCGGTTATCTCTTTTACAGATTCCCGTATCTCTCGCACTGCAAACCTTTCCCCCAAGATGTAGTAGTATCTACACCATTATGCCTGACACCTTCTTAAAATATCTCTCTCTCTCTCTCGTTGGTTTTTCGGATGACCTTGCAATTGTTTGTAAGAATTTAACTCCATTTGCCAGTCATTTTCGCATTGTTTTAGGAGGTCTAGATTTGCTTGTAATAGTTTTCTATCCTGGTCAGGGTCGATTACCCTATTGTCAGCAAAAGAGCAAACTTGCGAATCGGCCATCAACGGACGGCTTATCGTTCGTATTGATCAAGAACAGCAGTGGACCCATGAGTGTTACTTGCGAAACACCTGGAGTGACAGGGGAGGATGAAGATGACTGGTCCTCTAGCACAACCTGTTGGTTTCTTCTATCTAAAAAGCTGTTGATCCACTCAAGGGTGTTGCAGCGGTCACAACAGTTATGAAGTTTGGCTGCATGGCGCTTATCAACTGCTTTGTTGAAGTCGAGCAGGATCGCATCTATCTATTCTTTGTTGTTTGGACCGGTTGCTAGTCCTGGAGTGTGAATTGGCTCTCGTATGATCTCTTCTTTCTGAAGCCATATTGTCTTTCATTTATATTATTGTTACTTTCAAAGAACTTCATCATGTGGCTATGGATGACGTGCTCCATAACTTTGCAGCAAACTGATGTCAGGGAAACTGGCATGTAGTTGGAAGTTTTGCTTTAGTCACCTTTCTCGAACAATGGAGTTGCGAATGATCCTTTCCAGTTGTCTGGTGTCTGGACTCGCTGTAATGATGCTTGGAACGTTTAGACTGGATATATTGAAGGTGCCCTTCTAAAATCTTGATGAAATCTGGTCTGGAGATTGTCACATGTTACTTGCTGTAACCTTAGTGTCATGAACCTAGAATCACCTTCTCTCTCAAATTGAACGAACGAGTGGCGAGTATCGCGTGGAGTAGTCAATTTCGCTCTCGTCAAAGGTAGTTCAAACCAGATTTCGCAATAAGATAATTTGCATCACACAGTTCAACATGTTGTCATCTGGAAAAGGCGGGAGATTTTTACCAGTTCAAAATAAGATGTGAGAAGATTTAATATCTTTCCTTAAAATTGATTTCTCCTCTAAATAAGACCTATCGCCTACGAGTACACTTAGAATTCTTTCTGAGAATAAGAATAGCTGACATACTAACAAATTGGACAACAAATTTGAATGTGTTCTCAGTTCAGTCAGCCAATGGTAGTCTTGTCCATATAATGTTATTTAAAAGCCAATTTGCCTTTGTTTCTGAAGGACTATTTGATATCTAAGCCTACTAGCCATGATGGCACATTTTTTATTGTTAAATTCTATGGGAAAATTCATGGCAGGGGATAAGATTTCCAACATCTTTGTAGGTAATGCACCACCCAAAACATTGCTAAAATATTCATGCATTTTATGGACTTATCACTCTGGTTAACATTTTACGGACTTATCACTCTGGTTAACATTTTACAGACCTTTCACTCTGGTTGACATTTTTCATAGGGGTTTCGTCAAGCTGAAGCTACTAATCTTTGCTCAAAACAAATTTTATTTTATTTTCTCTTTAGACCATGACATACGTGAAATAGGATTCTGCTATTACTTCATTATTATCATTCTTATTATACATTTTCGGAAACTTAAATTATTTCGTCTTCTAATGATGGTAATTTCAGAAACATGAACACTGACAGACGCATTAAAACGACTGGCAGCTGCTGATATTGTCAAATGAATGAGGCTAGAAAGTACGTGAGCATAGCTTCTGCTGACAAGTCTTGCTCTTCCATCTTATTTCTCATGTTCAACGGAACCTCCGTTGTGAAGCGCCTTCAAACGATTCTGAGTTGGAATACCTGATATTCCATTTATTTCAGATATTTTTCAGACACTTAAATCTTTCTTGGATAAATGAATTATCGTCTGCTTCTGACAGTTTGTCAGATCTTTACTGCCACAAATTTATAATTTCCAACTACCATCAGTATGTTAAATTAGTGCATATAGACAAAATGAAATTCAAAATCATCTTAGTCCATGCAGTGACTGTTTGAAATAGAATCATGGTTCTGCTGCAAGTATTTATAGTATTTGCAATCTGACCCCAAACCTTAAGACTGAACCGAAGTAACCCCAGTTTCACAAAAAACTCCCCGAAAAAATTCGTTAAGTTGAGAGATTTTAATATTTTTTGGTTGGTAATATCGATTCTTCCACATAAGATTCAGCAGTCACCAGGCTGGCTGCTGAATATATATATATATATATATATATATATATATATATATATATATATATATATATATATATATATATATATATATATATATATGGGACAGAACACGAATAAATGTAGTCTGATTTCTGTTCTACAGCAGAAGCAAAATTGTGCGTCAACCAATTAAACAAAATAAAAATACGCATTTAATGAGCTTACATCGTGTCGCCATAACAATACGCATTTAATGTAATAACATTATGTCGCAAAGTAGTATGAATCATATCAAAGATTCGATGATTAAAACTATGAAATTTACTGGATTTGATATTAAAGGGTTACCATATTTGAACCTGCAAAACAGAGGACACTCTGAAGAGTGGGCGTATCTGTTAGAGATTTAAAGACCGGTAACGACGAGATGGCAACCCTGCCATATTTGGATATAATCACTTTTTGAAAGCACCGTTCAGTCATTGTACCGTGTATATACAGTTCAAGATTGGTATAAAGGGCCTGAGTTGGGGGTATTGAAGATGATTTTGTAGAATTTAGTCTCAAATTTAAGTGACTATATTACTGGAATGTCTAAGGGTATAATATGTTTGTTCGGACACAAGCGGATGCAGAAATTTTAAAGCATAATCACGAAATAGCATCCTGGTAATTCTATGGAGTTTAAATTTTTCTGTAAAAATTGAATACGATTATATATTTGAAAGAATAAAATAATTATGTTGACAAATAGATGATGCAGAAGAAAAAAAAAAACGATTGTCAGAAGTGGGATTTGAACCCACGCCCACATTTGTGGACCAGAACACTCAACATAGGTATGTATACCTTGAGTCTGGCGCCTTAGACCACTCGACCATCCTGACATGAGAATGGTAATAATGAAACCAAATAATTGTTCACATTTAGTGAAACAGATTCCCGCTTTATTACACTAAATGCAATAAAGTCATTATTTTTTATAAAAAAAGACCAAAAACAAACTTTCACATAATTTCTAAATGATATGTTTATTTTCCACAAATAAACGCCATCTGTATTTGACTAGTCTTCTATACCGATTATTAGACTGGTAAATATTGATCAAGTTATCTTATCGTGCAGTCTTCGTCAGCCATTGTTGTGTATAAAACGCGTCCAAATGGAAAGTTGCAATGTTACGACACGAGTTATCGTCAGCTTGAACAAGAATTGAAAAATGACTTAATGCTCTAAATCCACTTAATTAACATGGCTGAGAAAGTTGAAAGATATTGTCTGTCTTGTGGGCGTGTACCGAAATTTGCTAGACGAGTTGAATCGAGTCGTGTTCGCGGCAAAGATTTGCATTATTTACTTGTTAAGTACGGTGGTGTAAATGTGGACAGTGGTTTTTTGTGTAGAAACTGTTGTGACACAGTAAAAAACCTTCATGTTAAAAGCATGAAATTTTACGAAAAATGTCAGCAAACTGCACTCAGGCATGCAGACAAAAAGAAGCACCAGTCGACTTTGAGGGAGAATGTTGTTTCGGTATCCAATCCAAATTATAGTAGCCAAGAGAGTCCATTAACATCACCCCCCAAAAAGCAGTGTATTTTTTATATTCCTCCAAAGTCATGTCCAGTGTCGTCATACATTGACTTTGACTTGCAAATGACTCCAGTTCTGACAGATGCACCAAAAAATGGTGAGTGGGCCATTCGATCGCCTACGTATTGCTTGGTTGTCTGTGAATTCTTTAATCCCATCCCTGGGAGCGACCGATTACCCAAAGAATTTTGAAAATACCCCAAGACTACATCAAGTTATTTATAACAGTTGAAATTCTTTTATCATTTTAACCGAAATAATTGATCAATACCCCAAAATTGAAAGTTAAAACTTCAAGAAACCTTTTAAGCTATTTACCGCTTCACACACAGTGGTGAAAGAGTTATCGTTCGTTAATCGGATTCTGAGTACTGAATAGGGCAGGGCATTCGTTATTTATTTAGATAAATAAAAACCAAAGGTGTTGCAAAGTAATTTGTAATTTTTCAATAGATATCCAGACCACTCCACATCCTTGATTTTGACTTGAGTGTACCATTCTTTGTCATATAAAAGATAAAAGTGGTTTACCTAGAATTTGGTCAGTTTTAATTTTCAAGAATGCTACTGTTATCTACCAACTAGGAGAATGCTGCACAACTTGTGTATTTCATTAAGTTATCTGACATGAAGATTAATCACATTTCTGTGATTATTTATTTCCTTTAAAACCAATAATTATTTAAATTTCTGGTAAAGTATCTTTTACCTTGCCTGTATTAAGAGCAGGTGATTTCTTTCCCATGTTGATTACTGTCCAGGGATAAACTCTGCTAATCTTACTAGATAATTATACAATGCAGAATTTTACTAATTTTGTTAACTATAATTGATCATAGCATATTTGATATTATTTAATTATTAACATGCTTCCTGGGTTACTGAGGGTGTTCTGAGGTAGTCTTTTGCTATATTTGTTTGTCTTTATGTAAGACTGGGTGCAGTAAATATACTTTTACCTGTCATAGATTGTGCCCTTGATGGGAATTTTAACTTGTGTATTATAGTATTTCAAGAAACTATTAAAATCACTCTAGAAAATGATCAGTTATATCGACCTAAATTATTTTACTGCAAAAAAGGTCTACAAACTTTCAAAATTCATCTTGCACTATTGTTTTTTTTTAAAAAAAAACATGTCAAAATTTGCTGATTTACTTTAGTTCATCATTAGTTCATGCCCCAGAAATAAGATCACATGATGCAAGTTTGGAATGTGATCACATGATGCAAGTTTGGAATGTGATCACATGATGCAAGATTGGAATGTGATCACATGATGCAAGTTTGGAATGTGATCACATGATGCAAGATAGGAATGTGAAAATCAGACCAAGGTGTAGAAATATTTTGTTTATGATGTTTCAGTATTATTAATATTTGCATATGTAATACATTTCATTTCTTTAAATAGCATATTAAGATGCAATGGAACACTTAATGACAAAAATATTTAACAATTATTTACTATTCTTCAAATTTTTTACAATATAATTATCATGTTTAAAGGCATCTTGAATTTTTAAAATATATTGTTTATACTGTATAATTTTTAATTGGATTTATTCTGTAGTAATCAAGTTGTTACAATGCCCTATCAGAATTGCTTTCATGGGTTTCCTGCTATTGATATGGTAAAGAATACCAACATGTGAACAACAGCTGTTGAACAGCTAGCACTCACTCTTTGACCATAAGTTTGAGGCAAATATACCTTCATTGTCATTGAACACTAAACTCATTTGAGGATGACATGATTGTAAAACAAATGTACAAGATCACAAAAAATTATGTGCTCGATTCAGGAATGTGCCAGTAATGATAGAAAACTGTTTGAGGTGGGCAACTATACATGGCAGCAAATGATTTGTTTTTCTTTTTATGTGTCAGTGCTTTAAATTTTCTAATTTATGATTTAAAATAGATATTTTCATTATTGTGAGGAAAATAGCTAATGTAAAAGAAATTGCTTTCTTATTGTCATTGATTATTTGATGTTCTACACACTGGATAATATGTTATACTGTGGAAGCAAGTTACCAACTACTGATACTGTCTTTTTAATTTTGTTGTATTCTTCACTCATCTTATCCTCTTTCTCTGATGAGGTTTCTTTCCTTCTTAAAGTGTTTTTGGTGTAGTGATTTTTTTTTTATCATTTATTGAATTTACAGGGGGGTGCGGTTCTTTGATAATTATTTGGATAAATGCTTCTTGTTCATTCTGTTGTTTGTGACCTTTTCTGTACTGAATATTCAGTGGTTCATAAAACTCTGTACCATCTTGAAATTGTCTATTCCAATGAGTGTGGACTAGTGGTTAGAGCATCCATGTTGGATGTAGGAAGTCACAGGTTCGAACCCCAGCTGAGTGATACCAAAGACATAAAAATTGAACTAACAGCTGCCTTGCTTGGCACTCAGCATTAAGAGGTTTGTGTTAGGACTGTTCTTCCTGGTGTCAGGATAATGTGACTGTGAAAAGGGAGGGAATTTAAAACATTAAAACTCTCCTCCTTTCAATTTGCCTTTGTAGATAGGGAATGATCTCCCTCGATGTAATTAGCAAGTGTGGATGGATAGATGGAACTTTACAGATAGCTGAGCAAAGTATTGAAAGAAACAAAATAGTGAACACCCTTTAATGAATAAAATATAATTAATCAAATAACATAATCAAAGAAACAAACAATTTCCCTACAATGATTTACTAATTTAAATATTCAATTAAAGCATAGCCAAATTCACTTCTATTCAACTAATGGTCAATGACAGAATTTAATACAGTATATAAATATCATCATGTACTTGAGTGGTGATTTAGAGTCCAATCTTATGCCTTTGACAGCAACACCTGACACTTTTCTTCACACAACGTGTCTTCCATGTAGAACTACATGCTTGGTCATCTTTAACCATTACTGTTCTGACATCCAGAAGATGCAGCTTTCCTCTTTGACTACCCTCTGTATTCCTCCTTCTCTCTTTCGTTCGGAGTACAAACTATGAAGATTGAATTCAAACGATGAAGCTGTCCCCTTAAATATAGAGTATGTCTCACGCTAGACAAGTACCACTACACATTCACATGTAAATATAAACTAAATTTCTCATGCTCAGACTTTGGTAGATATACTGTATAATTAAAATCTCATGTGTACTTACTCAATAACATTCAGATTTACTGCGAGTCCTCAATTCCCACATGCCTCTACAGACTAATGTGGCCATATATACCAGCATGCATTACAACATAACTCATTTACAGTTGGCTATTCAATGCAGTTTATGCACAAATATTTATGTGTAATATCAACTAAATTTAACTATTCTAAAGTAGCTTGAGTGAACAATTAAATATTGCGAACTCATATATATATATATATATATATATATATATATATATATATATATATATATATATATATATATATATATATATATATATTCATATTCATCATTACTCACAAGAGTAAATATCATCCTACATAGATTCAATTCATATATCCAAAGAAATGTGACATTCGTAATATTAGGGTGAATTCATGAAATCACTATGCAACTCTACATATCGAATATTTAATTAAATGAAAACCGTTGATTTGATAATTTAAAAAAATCAAAGAATTAACTGGTAGAACTAATATATTGCTAGTCCTACAAATGAATACAAGAATACATGTGTGAATCATAATAAAATAATAATAAATCAAACAATCAAACAAATGAAATAGCATATTAAAGTTGAAACTAAAATTGTATACCTTACTGCCATTTCTGTTCTAAACAAACATTTGTAGCCTAGTCTGTCATCTCTCTAAGACAACTATCGGGCTTCGTGGTAATTTCACAAGACCACTACAGTGCATCCCGGAGTTGACTTTATCTTTTTAAGAAATATCTGACGGATTTTCCAAGAGATAGTTCTTAAATCATTTCTCAAGGTGTACATCCTTAAGTTTTCCTGGCAAATCAGACATAACTGTTTCTAAAATTTTCCCTTCAGATCCAATGTTAAGTATCTGTTGTTTCTTTAACTGGCTTAAAATATTTCACAATTAGCATCCTTTGAAAACTCAATTATTTGACATTTGCTCCTTGTACCACAGGAAATGACTGGGTCAGATTCAACTGGGGTTTAACATAATTCCTTCCTTTTATGTTGAGTTGAAATGAGGAAATAGCATTGAACTTTCACCAGACCTTTCTGTTTCAATTATGTTAACTTGAAAGCACAATTTATTTAACCATGGGTTTCAATACATTTCAAAATTTGACCCAACACAGTAACTGGG